GGTATATATAAGATGGTCACAACGTGATGAAACAATGAGTAATTGAACTGCAGTCAGAGAGTGTGTAATTGAACTGAGTTGAGCACGTGAGACGTTCGTTGTTATAGCGTTTGTTATAGCTCGACTGTTGAAATTAAGTGTATCAGTAAATTTTCTTAGGAAAGAATAAACTAGTTTCATTTAAGAAAGGACTTGTGTCGCTAAAGTTTCGTTGGAACGAATTTACGGAAATTAACTAACGAACAGAGACGTAACAATACGTAACAAAAGAAATAGATATATATAAGAAATTGTCATACGTATTAGAGAAGTTAGCAAGTAAGTAAAATCCATATCAGCAAACGAATTTGCAGAACTAGTAGCAGAAGAAACAAAATGCTTTCATCGTCTTTAAGTGTACAGGGCTTAGCATTCTTCGCTTTTACCAAATAATTCAAAAGAACTCACCCAACAATAGAAACCATTACAACAGTATAAAATGCAACAGAATTTATTAACTCCTCTTCGTTTTCTGTCTGATAACCTAAATACTTCTTATTCGATCCTTTCAGTGATAGAAAAATTGAGTTAAGTGATTTCATTTATCGAATATGACATTAAAATGTTTAAAAAAAACACAAAAACAAGGGTATAGAAATTGTTTACTTGATTAAAAGATTAAGGAGTATAGTAGTAATATAGTAATATTTTAATCAAGTAAATGTATAAACATAATTTCCATAAACATTCTTTATCCATTTTCTATCTTTATATGTAGCATAAATCATGAATATAAAAAAAATGAAACAAATTATTTTGCTTTGTTTTTCAGTAAAGCCGTTAACTAATCTTCTTGATACAGCACGTACATTCGAAGCCTCTGAATTTGTTCGCCAAGTGGAGCTACAGGGTCTCATATCCCTGTTAGCTAAGAGAGGAGCCTATACTCTTTTCGCAGCGCATGATATGGCATTTGACAACCTTAGTATTAGGGGAAAGGAAGAATTAGAAGAAAGTATAAGGTCTAGACAACAACCACCCGTGCTTCTGTATGCTGTTGTAGAACGACGACAATATTCTTACCAGTTACAGGATCAAATCTCATTACCTACACTCTTTGGGGAAGCCGCGTTACGCTTTCGACGTTATCCAAATGGAGTGAGTTTACCAGAATTTATCACGTAAATACAATGTCTAGGATAATAGTTGAATAAAATCAAATGTGATTAAACTTCTTAAGGTAAATTTTTAAAGATGTAAAAAGAAAGGAAATGTTAAAGACTAGGGTAAGAAGTACTTCAAGAAATTCAAACAACACGAATCACACAATATTTGATAATTAATATTTTAAAGTTTTATTAATAGTGCTCACATTTAATTAAAGTAACATCAGGCTGTAAGTACCTTTTTATATTCTTGGTTTTTTGAAACTTTATTCATTTATGTTACTGAAATTGAGGAAATCTACTTATATACTATTGTTTTGAAAGTGTTTTTTTTTTTTACTTTGTACAGAACGTTTAAAAAATAGTAATATTTTAGTTTTACAAAAAGCACTGAACTTGTTTGTATCTAGCAAATATAGTTAATAACAATGTCAATGCGTCATAGCATGTCATTCAATAATACATTTCTTTATTTCTGGTTTAAGAAGTTAGCAAACAGGATCACGTACAAAAGTTGTAATGATTTTCAAACGAGACCCAAAACTAGAGCGTTTTCGTATAGTTCACTATTTTCCAGGAGAATATAGGGATACGTTTAATGAGTGTGATGAAATATATAGGCACGGATGTCGACGTCATATTAGCCTTGAGAACTAGCCAAGCATTATTAGCCTAGAGCTGTTGGTGTCAGGTTAAGTTTGTGACAAAGAGGTGTGTAAAGTACATAAAAGACTTAAGAATGATAAAAGACTAAAGTCAAAAAGTGATAAGCCCCCCAGTGGCACAGCGGTATGTCTGCGGACTTACAATGCTAGAAACCGGGTTTCGATACCCGTGGTGGGCAGAGCACAGATAGCCCATTGTGTAGCTTTGTGCATAAATTCAAACAAACAAACAAAAAGTGATAAAAGACTTAAGTATGATAGTAGTTATACACGGACTAATAGTGAAGCTAGTGAAAATATACGAGTTAATATTATTCCATTTATTGGACATGGCACGAAAAGGGTATTGTTACGACAGCGGAAGTCACGTGACTCTAGTAACACGTCATGATATTCTCGAACGTTCTTGAATGCTCGAGTGTTTAATAGATGTGCGGTATTCTTGTATATAAGACCGCCAAGAAGTGACGGCAACAATGGAATTGAATTGCAGACAGAGATAGCGACGGACAATTGAGTCAAGCGCGTGAATCGTTCGTTGTGAATTATAGCATTTGTTTAAGTTACAGCGTGACTGTGGAAATTAAGTGAATTTCAAAGTTGTATTGAGAAAGAATAAACAAGAAAGGACTTGTATCGCTAAAGTTTCTTCTGAAAGAACTTTTACGGAAAATTAACAAACGAACAGAGACGTAACAGTATGTTAATTAAAACTGCGGACAATGAATAAAATGTAACATACTGTGAGTAATGCAACAACAATGTAACAAGGATTTTTTAAGTAGTATTCAGTGATAGAGAAAACAAAATAACAATTCCAGAGAGAGAGGAAGAGGTGTATGCTGAACCTGGCCATCCCTGGTCCAAAACATGGACAGAATCCCGATGAAGATAATAATAATATTCATAAGAAATGTTAACCAATTTTTATAAAGATAAAAATAAACAAAAGGCAAAAGCCATATCGATTCAGAAGTCAGTGCTGATATCTTAGGTGATCATCAGAGCAGATAGACTCTCTTCCACTAATATTTCCTTATATTATTATTCAGGAATAACCAGATATGTACTGCTGATTTCTTTGTCCTCATCAGCTAAGACGAGATCATACAATATACTTCACAGTACTCTCATCATTCGTGTCTATTTGCTCATCCACCTTTGATTCCTAGACTAACAAGTTCTCAAAAAGGTCATCAGAACTGTAGAGTTTAATCTTGTCAGTGTATAGTTTTTCCTTTTTTAATGCTTTAGCCTATAAGAAATGTATATTTACAGAAATAGAATTTTTGGCTATTGATTTAAAATGTAAAAGTCATTTCTTAATTTTAGCTGTCATACATGTGCCATAAAACAGACACTAATTGTGACTAATGAAACATGAATATTCACAGCAGCAAGGTAAAAAATATTATCGTCAGTTATTAGGTAGAAGATGGGAAACAAGTATGTTTGAAGTATCTACTCATCTTAGTTCTTGTTTGTTCTGAATTTCGCGCAAAGTTACACGAGGGCTATCTGCGCTAGCTGTCCCTAATTAAGCAGTGTAAGACTAGAGGGAAGGCAGCTAGTCATCCCCACCCACCGCCAATTCTTGGGCTACTCTTTTACCAACGAATAGTGGGATTCACCATCACATTATAACGCCCTCATGGCTGAAAGGGCGAGCATGTTTGGTGTGACGGTGATTCGAATCCGCAACACTCAGATTGCAAGTCAAGCTCTCTAACCACCTGGCCATGCTGGGCCGCATCTTAGTTCTATGGGACTTTATATAGCCATTTCAAAAAGAGAGATATCACTAAAAATAGCCCAAATTTCAATCAATATAAGCCTGTAATATGTCAAATTTAGTCATCATTTTACGTTTTGTTTCTTTGTTTGTAATTAAGCACAAAGCTACACAATGGGCTATCTATGCTCTGCCCACCACAGGTATTGAAACCCTGTTTCTAGCGTTGTAAGTCCGCAGACATACCACAGTGCCACTGGGGAGGGGCATCATTTTAAGAGCAGATACTTCTAGGAGGCCAGTCGTTGGTGTATTGGGCATGCATCCACGTCCCACGTGACCACTGTAACTCATATTTCATTTCATTCAGCTGTTGACTGATAAGGTACAGACCAAACCAGTCAAAATCTTTTTTTTTCATGCTGTAGGCACATACCACAACCCAAGCCAGTCTCTAGCTTGAACTTTTGTTTTGTTACTGTTTTATCATAATATATCTTTTGACGTACAAACTCTCACCCAGAACAAAGCTCAATCATGCAAATCAACTGTTGCAGAATGTATCCATTCCATATATATATATATATTGCTGGTACATCAGTACTGGTTAGAGGATCAATCATCAGATCCCCAGGGTTTTTTTTTCTCGTCTGAACAGGACATTTAGAGAACAACTAGTTGACTATTGCTCAGTTGCATGATACACCATCATGACATATAGAATGTGCTCATACAAATAAATTCAGTGTTTGACAGTCTGTTCTGCCCTGTCAGTCAGTCAACAAGATCAAGGATGGTATGGTGAAGTATACTTCTTCATCACATCCAGCACTAAACTATGCAAAAATTGTGATATCCATTACTCAGCCAACACATCAGCAACAGACTGCACTAATTTGTTGAGCAATGGTTAACCTTCAGCCCATTTATTGAAGTAATCTATAAAAACCAGCACATCAATTGCCTTTTATTCTTATGCAGAGACCAGGTATATGTAGGATGATTTTTACCAGAGGGGAACTTACCACTCTTTATCTGAGTTTTCCCTGGAACATTTAGTTTTTCCTTTACATAGAATTATTACTTCTTGGATGGTTCATTATAACTGTTGCTGTCATGGTTTTAAGTGCTGCATGGTGTTCAGGATCTGAACATTTAACAAACAAAATTATTTCATGGGTTGGCGAGATAATCCATCAGTGTTTCTTGCCTGGTCAGAGTTGTGCAATTAAATGAAGTTGTATTCTTAAAGCAGAGTTATCCAATGGGCAATCATACCTTCTGGGTTTTTGAACTTCATTTGCTATTTCAGTTACACATAGTTTACTCGTGAACTTCCTGCTATACAAATTGTGGTGGTAAAGTTTGACAAATGCTAAAAACGTATAAACATTTTTTTTGTCATATAGTATTGGCATTCAGGAGTACTCAGTATATGATCCACAAGCTCCACCCCATTCTGTACTTTTGACAAGACCACGCCAATTCTATCATTACTGGTATATCCAGTGTGAACAAACAATCTTGACAAGGATACGCTTACATTGGTGTTTTTAGTAAGTGTTACGTATTAGAATTTCAAATAGCCTGAAATTGAGTTAAATGATACTTTAAATTTAGTAGTTAAATTGTATTTTGGATTTAGCAGTTACATAAAAGCCGATATATAGTCAGTTTATGATATTTTCCAATAAGATTTATACACACAGTATTCTTTTTTAACACAAATACGTTTTAATATACACACAACAATATAATTTACAATAACAGTTATTACAAATAGTTATTACAAACAATGATTTATAAACAAACGTTTCACAAACTTACAAGCAATATAAAGTCTTCTTTCTAGTCTGGAACTTCTTCGAAATCTTATCGAGGGTTCACGATGAGCAAGTTAATTACGAGTGGATGTAGGTATAATTCACTTAACAGGGAGCTAGCTCGCCTTTTCCTTCGTTATTCACCAGTCACAAACGCCGATAAGCGTTGTAATAATCACAATTATAGCTTCTGAAGTTTATAGCACACCAACCATAGCAAACCAATAATAAATACTCTTTTTTGACACATCACATTGGGTATAGTTATAGCCGTGTGGAGAGTTTCTAGAAAATTCAGATTACATTACAACACAAAGCTACATTAAGCATTTACGTGCATACATGTATTGTTGATTTTTACACTCGAGAATCTTCTACAACTTTAGAGAATAGGCGGGAGTTTCGCAATACATATTTAACACTATAAGTATATTTCTAAATATAAACTTTATGTAAACAAACGTTGATATTAAAATAAATGTATAATAATAAATCCGTCACATAAGGCATTTTTTAGGGATTGGAATGCGTTTTTGCACTCTTCTGCCCATATAAATTGTCCATCAACCTCAGTACAAAAAATGATACAACTAACTTGGACAAAGTTTTCACAAACTGTCAGTTATAAAATACAAAACGAAGAAAGCTCCAGTTTTATCATTTATTATAAGATGGAGATCAGTCCCTGACTGCTGTGTTCTTCCCAGGATTAATTGACCCTCTATCTCTACTAACTATTTGACCAATTAATTGTACATCTATGCATATAAAT